AAGAACGAATGATCCCCGATCGGCATGGCACGCTCTATCGCTTTGTTTTGTCGCCGACGCCGCGGGGAAATAGTTCAGTGGCAGAACATCAGATTGTGGCTCTGAATACCCGGGTTCGATTCCCGGTCTCCCCTTCCCTTTTCGTCGCGTAGTTCCTTTTTTGTTTTTGATTCGGGCGAAGCCGCGCGCAAAAGACACTCCCACCGCCGCGGCGATCCTTGCGGCCCGTCGTTCCCTTGCTAATGCTGCTGTGTTTATCTTCGTTTTCTTTTTCCTTTAAAGCCCTAGCCCGCCAGGGGGCGCCGCGCAGGGGGCGCGCCTGGGCGGGTCCGGAAGGGAGAAAAAAGCGGCGTGTGTCGCCGCACGCGGGGAGGGGGTTTCCGCCCCCGCGGGGAAACGGAAAGCGGCGGCAGCGCGGGGAAAGCCGCCCGGAACAGCGGCCTCGTCGCGGGCCGTTCCGCGACCCGGCGACCCCTCCCTCTGAAACGGCGTTTTCCTCTCGTTACTGCTGCTGCGGGCGCCTTTGGCTTGCGGGGCGGGGGGAAGGAACAGAAGAAGAGAGAGTGGCGCCCGGAAGCTGGAATGGGCGGAAAGCGACGCGCAAAACACGCCGCCCCGCCCCGCAGACACACCCCACCGAAACGGGGAAACAGCCAAGCACACCGGCGCCGCTAATGGAGAAAAGGAAAACAATGGGCGCCGCCACACCCTCTCGAAAACAAAAAAAAACAAAAAAGCCAAAAAAAAATCGAAAGCGAAGGAGCACTCTCCGCGGCTTACTTTTGACTTCGGCAAAGGCGGGGGTGGGCGTCCTCTATCCTTGCCGCCTTTTTCTTGACCGGCGCTTTCCGCACCCCACTTTGCGCCATCACAAACGCACCCGAAGAGCCACGGAGTGAACATATTCACATTGCGACCGCGCGTTGATGGTCCCCCGCCGCGCGCGTCTTGCGGCACTGGCGTTGAGAACCCACGCTTCGCGAAGAGGTTTATAACGAAAAAGTTGAGCAATTCGGGGATTGCTGGCGCAGTCGGCCAACCGCCGCTGGTCGAACACCGTCCTCTCTGAACGTTCCCCTCCCGCCAAAAAAAAAAAACGGGAAAATCGGCGAAAAAAGGAGTAACTTGCCAAAAGACATAAAAAAAAAGAAGCGGTTCTTGCCTTATCTTCTCTTTTTTTTTCTTTCTTGCGTTACATAAGAGAGGCTATAGTGAAAGGAGCCGATCGCAAAAAAAGGTGGGGGAAAAAAAACGGAAAAAACAAAACAAAACGAGACACACAAACACCAAAAAAACAAACACAAGGAATGCGCAAAGGGCGCGGTCGTCGAGGCGCCACAAAACGCCCTAGGTGACAAACATATCGGTGTACCTACCTTGCTTTATTGACATGCCACTCATCGGTTTACTTGACGGCCACAGTCGCACAGCAGATCAACTGGATCTCCTGTGTAAGCACCCCCTGACACTGGCGCTACTTGACGCACTTACAGCAGATGCAGAAGACAACGACAAGAAAGACAATAACCATCGCCGCACCCACCGCAATTCCCATGACGATCATGCCCTTGCAGATGCCCGTGCACGCAAAGATCTCCTCTCCTTCGCCCGGGACGTAGGCGCTGACGAGGACAGCCTTGCCCGGTCCCGGGTACAGCGCCAGCGTCGCGGGGAAGCCTGAACGAGTGATCATCGAGTTCACCTCCTCCGGGCCCCAGTGGTTCTGCAGCTTCGGGGTGGGGGCGTCGGGCAGCAGCGTCTGCTGCACGGTGACGCGAACCTCCAGACCGCCACTGGCGGCGAGGGAGTTGACGGTGGTGTTGGTGTCGAAGACAAACGTGCGCTCCAAAACGGCGTCAACGTCTGACACGATGGTCGCTTCCAGCGCCGCTTTCCTCTCCTCCACCACAGGGCCCAGGCAGAGCCGTTGAACGCAATTATGT